GCTTTTTTTCCCCCAAAACTTTGTCTTCAAAATAAGGGTGCGTCTTATATTCCGAAAAATACGGTATATCAGGATAATGTAACAAACTGATCACTGATGATATTGGATCACGGCCAGAAATATCTCTAACGGCGAAGGTGCCCAACAGAAGATATACTGCATATAACTGTAATGGGTTTTTTGTTTCATGTCATTGCATATTCCTAATTAATTATATTAGTTTCTAATTGCTTTGTTAGTTTTGATTTATGTAGGAAGCCTGTCCTTTGATCAGAAGCTACTGATAACCTAAGGCACTTAAAGTATCTGTCAGTTTAAAACAAGGTTTTAAACACTTTCCATTAAATTGAAGTACAGAGTTATTCGTTAGGGACTATGTGAGGTTTCCAATGTGGTATTTTTGAGGATTTAATGCTGGAGGAAAATTGAGTTTCTTGTTTGCAGAGTTACATAATAAGTTTTCTACGCTCTGTCCACCGCGACAAACCTAACTCCGAATTTTAAAGTCGTAAGTCTACGAAGTTACTGCTGACTCACCGGGGAATATTTTGAGTTAATTTTTCTCTCAACTCTGAAATATGACTAAACTTTTTCTATGAAATAAAGATACGTCCGTGTAAATCACGCATTAAAGAGTGTTTTAATGTGAGCAAAATAAACTGGTGATTTGTCGAGATAGTGACGTTTTTATCAAGACTTGAACAGTGTTAAGATGAATGTGTTACATAAGCTGTAACGAATTATACGATTTGGACTAAGATAGGCTTCAGACTTGAACAGTGTTAAGATGAATTTGTTACATAAGCTGTAACGGATTATTTGCTTTACTCTAAAGAAAAAGGTTTCAGACCTGAACAGTGTTGAGATGAATGTGTTACAAAAGCTGTAACATATTATATAAGTTGGTCCAAAAAAGGTTTCAGACTTCCAAAATGTCAAGACGTTTCGACAACAACAACATCGTTATAATGTGACGATCAGTCGCACTATTCGATTAGAACGGCTCAACAGTTGGCTGTGATAATACAATAGTGTTTATCTGTCATAACAGATGATAATACAATAGTGTTTATCTATCACAACAGATAATAATACAATAGTCTTGATTAGTCAAAACAGATGATAATACAACAGTCTTTATCTGTCATAACAGATAATAATACAATAGTGTTTATCTGTCATAACAGATAATAATACAATAGTGTTTATCTGTCATAACAGTTAATAATACAATAGTCTTGATTAGTCAAAACAGATGATAATACAACAGTCTTTACCTGTCATAACAGATAATAATACAACAGTCTTTATCTGTCATAACAGATAATAATACAATAGTGTTTATCTATCACAACAGATAATAATACAATAGTCTTAATTAGTCATAACAGATGATAATACAATAGCGTTTATCTGTCATAACAGATAATAATACAATAGTCTTAATTAGTCATAACAGATGATAATACAATAGCGTTTATCTGTCATAACAGATAATAATACAACAGTCTTTATCTGTCATAACAGATAATAATACAATAGCGTTTATCTGTCATAACAGATAGTAAGACAATAGTGTTTATATTTCATAACAAATAATAATACAACAGTCTTTATCTGTCATAACAGATGATAATACAATAGTGTTTATCTGTAATAATAGATACTAACAAATAATAAAAAAACATTTTGTAAATGTAAAATTATGTAGGGATGGCAGTACCAAAGAATGCAAACAAGAATATAGGGATGACACAGTTATACGTAGATCATCCCTACATGGCTTTTAATTTTAAAACATATTGTTACACTGTAAAATACACGAGTACGAAATGGTTACGAGGTCGGTCAATTACAAACACACGGTTTTGTTTGTTTGCGAAATTTCGCGCAAAGCTACTCGAGGGCTATCTGCACTACCCGTCCTAAATTGAGAAAGGATAACTTTCCGGGATCTGTTATGACAGATAAACACTATTGTATTATTAACTGTTATGACAGATAAACACTATTGTATTATTAACTGTTATGACAGATAAACACTATTGTATTATTAACTGTTATGACAGATAAACACTATTGTATTATCATCTGTTATGACAGATAAACACTATTGTATTATTAACTGTTGTGATAGATAAACACTATTGTATTATTATCTGTTGTGATAGATAAACACTATTGTATTATTAACTGTTATGACAGATAAACACTATTGTATTATCATCTGTTATGACTAATTAAGACTATTGTATTATTATCTGTTATGACAGATAAACACTATTGTATTATTAACTGTTATGACAGATAAACACTATTGTATTATCATCTGTTATGACAGATAAACACTATTGTATTATTAACTGTTATGACAGATAAACACTATTGTATTATCATCTGTTATGACAGATAAACACTATTGTATTATTAACTGTTGTGATAGATAAACACTATTGTATTATTATCTGTTGTGATAGATAAACACTATTGTATTATTATCTGTTGTGACAGATAAACACTATTGTATTATTATCTGTTGTGATAGATAAACACTATTGTATTATTATCTGTTGTGACAGATAAACACTATTGTATTATTATCTGTTGTGATAGATAAACACTATTGTATTATGACAGACAAAACAATGCTG